ATATATATATATATATATATATATATATATATTATATATGCATTATTGCAAATTAGATCAATTTGTGTTATGACTTCAAGGAGATGCAATATAGTTAAAACGTACATATTCACTCTTAACGCCTGTTGTTGCGTTACATATTAAATATATGTTTGAATGCATTAAAAATCGGTTACTATTTATATTATATTTACCACCTATGCCTTCTTCTTAGGCATATTTTATTATTTATATTCTATTATGTTTTGGGTATAGGTCAAACAACTTCTATAAATACTTTCAAATTTTTTTTCAAAGATGTTCGGGTAATTATATATCTAATCCTATGTCTTAGTTCAAATCGATAATAAATAATTGGTTCGGAGATCAGAACAATAGTCTTAAATACATAATAAATAAATACGTTCACCTACCTCTTACCTTTGATCTATATTTATAGTTTCTAAAATCAATTTAAGATTAGTATGACTTTAACCATAAAATCCAAACCTCAGCCTATTACACTAATTAATACTTCTTAATGTCACTTTGGTAAAAATGTTATTGAGGTCAGTCGTCCGGCTTCTGCTCATTACAGGCTGGACGAATCTTAAGTTCATTTTGACTTCGTCTTGAATATCTATTAAGTTAAATCGTCCGTCCATTTCTTGCTATATAAGGTTGTTCGACATTATGTACATATCTTATTAAACCAAAATTGCTATATAATACTTTTTTATTATTTTACTTATTATAAAAGATAAATAATTTGCGAGATAATATATAACTTATAAATTATAAAAAATAAATGAAACTTGAGAAGAGTGAAAAAGAAAAATATTTGGAACGAAATAAAATGGGTTTATACATATTAATGATATGATATATTGAAAAGTAAACTATTTACGTAAAAGTCGGCTTTAAATACTATATATTATCTTAATACATAATTAAGTTTGACTGAAGTATTAATACAACAGAATATAATTACCATCACTTTGTGTCTATAAAAAGACGTTTTGTAATATTGTTTGGAATGTAAGAAGAAGACTTTAAACATTTATATAAAAGTGATATAGGTTGTGTAGACTTAGGGAATAAAATGAGAAAGAATGAGATGAAAAATAGGAAAATTGTGCTTATGATTACGATGATGGTAATGGTGGAATTAACAAAAGCAAGTCAGAGTCCTCCATCTAAGGCTAGTATAATCGACTGTGCTACTAAATGTGAACTAGAATGTGCACCATTGCTATTACCTCCTTCTAAAGGTGTTGCTTATCTAGTATGTGTTTTTACATGTCGTGCCAAATGTCTCGGAAGTCCCCCCAGTGCTGTTGATAATTGCATCATAGCTTGTGGCTATGTCGATATTGGTAATTATTATGTTCTTACCATGATTCTGTCCTTTTTAAGGTTTTTTACAACATTTTTTATATTTAAATTAATTGTGTTTTTGTTGTCTTTATATATCAGATGTTCGAGATCTTACGAACAATGCGGTGGATTCCTGTGCCAGAGAATGTTTGAACAAGTAGTGTTTTACTGTAAATTATTAAGAAAAGTGATAATCGTAAACTATATTGCAATAAATAAATCATAAATTATGAATAATCTTTGCCCATTTGTTTTTCGTAAATCTTTTGTCTGATTATTTTTTTTTCTCGTGTTTCTTTCATACAACGGTGATACTGACAAAAACTCGGGTGAGCAACGGCGAAATATAACAAATATTTCAGAAATAAATATAATGTATTTGACAACCTATTTCTTGAAACAGAATTAATTATGATTATTTAATAGAAAAATTACCCTTGTATGAATCATGTTTAGAAACTTTTTTTTTAATTAGTTTTTATGCATAATATTAAAATGGTATATGATGAGTGCAAGTGTACACTGTAAGAGTTGTTTTAGTATAATTTTGCATAATAAATTAAAAATAATAATTTAAGATATGTTGTGTTTTCGAGTTAATCTAAATAACATGTCCTACATATGTGATTTGTACGACTTGGTTTTAGATTTTTATGGAGGACGGTGTTGTGTTTAAATTAGATTGGTGAAAAACAGTATTTTGGAAGGGGTGAGAAAAGTAAAATCAAATTGGGTTTATTTTGGTCTTTGAATTTTTTGAGCATGAGAATAGTTAACTAAAATTAAAATATAAGAGAAGGGTTGTGTATAGGAAAAAAGGGTGTGAAATAAGAATCTAAAAGTTTTTTGTTGCGTTCCATCACTTAAACCATAGTCTTTTGTTGATATAGAAGATTCTAATTGAACAGTCCGTGCTTTGAATAGAAAATTCAATTCAGTTTTATTGTTTTCTAAGTTATAAATCCTTTTGGCACATCAAAGTCAAATCACATGTTCCCCCCGGCAACCATGAAACGATAAAGTATCAGTTTAAAGTCAGCTTATGACATGATCAACTAACAATATGTCAAAATGGTTAATTTTAAATACTAAATAATTGTAATGTACAAATAAAAAAATCATAACAGGTTAATCGTAATTATTAACATTGTCAACATATTGAAAGTGAAATTTAATGATAATAGGGTAGATAGACCTGTGAATTTGTTTTTCTTCAAGTAGTTTGATTTTAATTCATACGAGTTAAAACTAGAAAAATTTACAAGAACAAAAAGTTTTTTATTGAAAAAGTTTATTAAGGTTAAATTATTCACAAAAATTTGATAAATCATGCCAACTCATGAATTTTTTTAGAAAAAATATTTATTTTAAATAAAATATATATAATTAAATGAACAGATATAATTATTTTTAATTTATCAAAAAATTATAAATAAACATTTTAATCAAATTAACATAAATTCGATAATTTTTTTTAATAAACTTATATAAAAAATTATGTATAAAACTTTGAAATCATATTAAAAATATATATATTTTTATTAGCTAAGCATATTTTTAAAATATTTAAAATAGTTATTTAATTTTATGAAGAATTCATCTAAAATTAAAATTAAATGAGATATTTTCTATTTGAAAGTTTAAGATAATAAATTTATGAAAAATAAGTTTATGGATTTTTTATTATATATTTTTTTTAATGTATGACTTAAATTTTTACTTAAACTATACCCATTTTTTTTAATAATTCATATATATAATAAATATATATTTAATAATTATAAAAAAAATTATCGCAAATTTTATTAAAAAAAATTATATAATATTTTCATATTTTTTTATTAGATTTCATGTTTTTTGTGTAAAACTTTATCAACATATTGTTTTATTAAATGATATAATTTTTTTTTCTGGTAAATTGATAAAATTAATAAATAAATTATAATTAATAACTATATTAAATTATATATTATAGGTTTTATTTAATAACATAATAAATATAATATAAAAATATTAGTTTAAATATAATAAAATTACATCATATTAAATTATTTAATAAAATATATATATATATATATATATATATAAATGAAATTATTTTTAAAAGTTAATTAAAATTTTATATAGAGTTAAATTCACCAAAAACTTACTTTAATCACTAAAAAAAAGGTTTTAAGAGAGTGATTTTTTTTTAATCTCACTTAAGAAAACCTCCTAAGAAAGAGATTTTAAGAAAACCTAAGACTGAATTAGGACTGACAGATGAAAAGAATAGTAATGATTTTAACCAATAGATTAAAATCAGGAAAGAAAATAAAATGATTTTGTTGTTGTCATGAAAAAATAAAATAAAATAGTTTTGTCAAAAATGGGGACTACAATGGAAGAAATACAGGCACCGATTGCAAGATGATTCATTAGTTCAATTCAACACACTGAACCATGAACTCTCTATCACTCTTTGCCTTCCTCTGCGTAATTTCGGCGCACTCCATCACCATCTCTGCGAACTTCGCTGCGTATCCTCCCATCCCCGGCGTGAACGCCAAAGAAGGGTGCCCCCTCCGAGGCGGGGGCGGCGACGCTCTGACTCCTCTGCGGCGAGAAGTGTATGACAATGGGAAAATCTTCGACATCAGCCACAGGTACGCGCCTGAGTTGCCGGTTTGGGAATCGTCGGAGGGGCTCGGGCAAGACTTTCTGTGGCTTACAACTAGCATTAAGAATGGGTCGCGCGCTAACAACTCCGAATTCAAGCTCGGTGCTCACACCGGCACTCATGTGGACGCGCCCGGTCACTTTTACGACAATTACTATGACGCCGGCTTTGATGTTGACTCGCTCGACCTAAAACTTCTCAACGGTAGCGTATCGATCCTCTCTCTCCATGGAACTTTTATCATTTTTCAATTTCTTTAACTCAATTTCATATTCACAAAATTTAATAATTTTTTGCTTCATGTTATTGTATCGTTAATTTGCTGTTGTTCTCCTTTGGTTGGTTTCGTTTTTTAAATACTGTGTTTGTTGATTACCTATAAGTTTTAGACGTGGACAACTGATACAGCGCTTGTTCTGTTAATAGGTCTTGCACTTTTGGTTGATACTCCACGGGATAAAAACATAACGGGTAAATGTTACTAATGATTCATTTTGTTTTTTCTGCCTTTTGTTTTGTTTTTTTTGTTTTATTGAACTCCTGCATCCTGCGTTCTGTGTATTGAATGGGTGGGATATTCTTTTTTTCTTATTAACTCGCAATTTGTTGTACACACGAAATCTTGTTTTTATAAACTTTTTCATAAACATCTGTGGGCGACAAATATAAACTAGTAAAACAACAAACATTGAACTTTTTTCATGCTGAAATAAACTTATGCACCTTAGTTCCTGGAGAAGCTAGATGAAAAAGCTTTTATAAATTTTACACGCATAAGTTTTTTGCTCAGTTCATTCATCTTCTTTTTTTATTCTTATAAATATTTGTGAAGAAGTCTATTCAAACAAAGTCTTAACGCCAGACCTTCCTACACAGTAAATTTGTTGGAAAGTTGTACTTTTCTTAGCCTTGCTATTCTAAAGCCTGAAGTCGGGTTAGCCTGAAGTCATACTGTTTTTTGAGTTTTTATTTATTTATTTATTTTGAATACCTGTTATGAAATGCAAGCTTGTTCTTGTCATCAATTGTGACGTTTAATTGAAGCATTACAAAATTTCTCCTTTTTCTAGCTGAGGTTATGAAGTCCTTGAATATCCCTAAAGGTGTGCGTCGTGTGCTTTTCAGAACTTCAAATACCGACAGGTGAGTTCTACATGTTTCATGACTACTGCGAGAGGATTTTCTTTTTGTTAATTTAATGAAGTTTCTTCAGACTTGCTTTTTAAAGTGTTTCTCTGACGCGGCTTCATAGCTGTCGCATATACATGAAATACCGTGCTTTGTGCGTCGTTTTTTTTATAGATTATTGCAATATTTATGTTGGAAATTACCTCTGTGATTTTAACTTGCAATGTTATGAAAAACGAGTTCTAAATTAATCCTGAAGTTACATTGTCGCTGATAGTTTTGAAAATGGAGGGAACAACAATTTTATTTTACAAGTTGCACTGCAATCATTTACGACTTCAGTCTTTTGGTACCTTTTTCATGTTCAAATTCAATTTTGGGTTGCTCCTTTATCGTCATTGTTGGATGGCCCTGGATCTAATATGTTAACCTGTACACAGGTATTTCCTTAATTGTAGTTTCCTTCAATTTATGTGTATGGTCTGTTATGAATAGGGTATTAGTATTTAGAGAATGGAGAGGAAGTGGCCGGTAGCTGGAAGTAATAAGAATGGTTAATTACCGATGATGCATAATGATTTATTGACCTAATGGGAATTTGAAAAACTGTAAAGTGAAAACGGATTTCATGGCTATTTATGTTAAAAGAATATTTGTAAGTTACTATGAACTGTAAATAAGAATTACGAAAGAACACCATTTTAACAGCTTTTGTATGGTTTTTATGGAGGACTATGGAGGAAATGCAAGGCATGAGAAGGTTTTTAATAATATGATTATGATAAAAATGTTTATAGTGCCTGCCTTCCCCTTCCCTATACCCAAACACATTTAAGTTTTTTTTTTTGTTTATTTGATCATGTATCTTAATCTTATTGATTAATAAATAATGTAATTTTAGCCTGCAATTTTAACATTTTGCTTAAACTATATACTGATTTGTAGCTCTTAATTAGAAACTACACGAGTTAATCACTGCTGAATTGTTAGGCGACTCATGTTTAAGAAAGAATTTGATACAAGCTATGTGGGATTCAAGGAGGATGGTGCAAAATGGCTAATACAGAACACTGACATCAAACTTGTAGGTGAGATATTGATGAATTCTTAAGATTTAGGCTACTTATTTCCTGCCTAAAGCATTTCCTCTGACTCTTGCTCCACTCATGACTGGTCCCAAGTCTGCATTTTTATTTTCCTCTTATAAATCGATATTCTAATTGCTTCTAATAAAGTGGAGTCATTTAGTTATATAGGTTTCCTTGTCACATTTTTTAACTTACTTTTTGTTCTAGTCATTTCATTTGTCTGGACTATATCTTACTTTTTGTCAACTCAGATAACGTCCTTTTTAAGCATACATTTNTGACATCAGCCACAGGTACGCGCCTGAGTTGCCGGTTTGGGAATCGTCGGAGGGGCTCGGGCAAGACTTTCTGTGGCTTACAACTAGCATTAAGAATGGGTCGCGCGCTAACAACTCCGAATTCAAGCTCGGTGCTCACACCGGCACTCATGTGGACGCGCCCGGTCACTTTTACGACAATTACTATGACGCCGGCTTTGATGTTGACTCGCTCGACCTAAAACTTCTCAACGGTAGCGTATCGATCCTCTCTCTCCATGGAACTTTTATCATTTTTCAATTTCTTTAACTCAATTTCATATTCACAAAATTTAATAATTTTTTGCTTCATGTTATTGTATCATTAATTTGCTGTTGTTCTCCTTTGGTTGGTTTCGTTTTTTAAATACTGTGTTTGTTGATTACCTATAAGTTTTAGAAGTGGACAACTGATACAGAGCTTGTTCTGTTAATAGGTCTTGCACTTTTGGTTGATACTCCACGGGATAAAAACATAACGGGTAAATGTTACTAATGATTCATTTTGTTTTTTCTGCCTTTTGTTTTGTTTTTTTTGTTTTATTGAACTCCTGCATCCTGCGTTCTGTGTATTGAATGGGTGGGATATTCTTTTTTTCTTATTAACTCGCAATTTGTTGTACACACGAAATCTTGTTTTTATAAACTTTTTCATAAACATCTGTGGGCGACAAATATAAACTAGTAAAACAACAAACATTGAACTTTTTTCATGCTGAAATAAACTTATGCACCTTAGTTCCTGGAGAAGCTAGATGAAAAAGCTTTTATAAATTTTACACGCATAAGTTTTTTGCTCAGTTCATTCATCTTCTTTTTTTATTCTTATAAATATTTGTGAAGAAGTCTATTCAAACAAAGTCTTAACGCCAGACCTTCCTACACAGTAAATTTGTTGGAAAGTTGTACTTTTCTTAGCCTTGCTATTCTAAAGCCTGAAGTCGGGTTAGCCTGAAGTCATACTGTTTTTTGAGTTTTTATTTATTTATTTATTTTGAATACCTGTTATGAAATGCAAGCTTGTTCTTGTCATCAATTGTGACGTTTAATTGAAGCATTACAAAATTTCTCCTTTTTCTAGCTGAGGTTATGAAGTCCTTGAATATCCCTAAAGGTGTGCGTCGTGTGCTTTTCAGAACTTCAAATACCGACAGGTGAGTTCTACATGTTTCATGACTACTGCGAGAGGATTTTCTTTTTGTTAATTTAATGAAGTTTCTTCAGACTTGCTTTTTAAAGTGTTTCTCTGACGCGGCTTCATAGCTGTCGCATATACATGAAATACCGTGCTTTGTGCGTCGTTTTTTTTATAGATTATTGCAATATTTATGTTGGAAATTACCTCTGTGATTTTAACTTGCAATGTTATGAAAAACGAGTTCTAAATTAATCCTGAAGTTACATTGTCGCTGATAGTTTTGAAAATGGAGGGAACAACAATTTTATTTTACAAGTTGCACTGCAATCATTTACGACTTCAGTCTTTTGGTACCTTTTTCATGTTCAAATTCAATTTTGGGTTGCTCCTTTATCGTCATTGTTGGATGGCCCTGGATCTAATATGTTAACCTGTACACAGGTATTTCCTTAATTGTAGTTTCCTTCAATTTATGTGTATGGTCTGTTATGAATAGGGTATTAGTATTTAGAGAATGGAGAGGAAGTGACCGGTAGCTGGAAGTAATAAGAATGGTTAATTACCGATGATGCATAATGATTTATTGACCTAATGGGAATTTGAAAAACTGTAAAGTGAAAACGGATTTCATGGCTATTTATGTTAAAAGAATATTTGTAAGTTACTATGAACTGTAAATAAGAATTACGAAAGAACACCATTTTAACAGCTTTTGTATGGTTTTTATGGAGGACTATGGAGGAAATGCAAGGCATGAGAAGGTTTTTAATAATATGATTATGATAAAAATGTTTATAGTGCCTGCCTTCCCCTTCCCTATACCCAAACACATTTAAGTTTTTTTTTTTGTTTATTTGATCATGTATCTTAATCTTATTGATTAATAAATAATGTAATTTTAGCCTGCAATTTTAACATTTTGCTTAAACTATATACTGATTTGTAGCTCTTAATTAGAAACTACACGAGTTAATCACTGCTGAATTGTTAGGCGACTCATGTTTAAGAAAGAATTTGATACAAGCTATGTGGGATTCAAGGAGGATGGTGCAAAATGGCTAATACAGAACACTGACATCAAACTTGTAGGTGAGATATTGATGAATTCTTAAGATTTAGGCTACTTATTTCCTGCCTAAAGCATTTCCTCTGACTCTTGCTCCACTCATGACTGGTCCCAAGTCTGCATTTTTATTTTCCTCTTATAAATCAATATTCTAATTGCTTCTAATAAAGTGGAGTCATTTAGTTATATAGGTTTCCTTGTCACATTTTTTAACTTACTTTTTGTTCTAGTCATTTCATTTGTCTGGACTATATCTTACTTTTTGTCAACTCAGATAACGTCCTTTTTAAGCATACATTTTATCTTTTTACTGTCTTTACGAGTGCATGGTAGTTATTAGTATTTATTTGCAATTTAGGAATGAATCAAGATGAGTTGATGTCACTCTATTCCATTCTTTGTGGTTATGAATTAATAAATAGCTGAAGACGCCCAAGGTTCAAAGTGCATGTGATTATTTTGTATTTGTCATCACTCACTTCTTTAAATTTCACATGTGAACTTTTTATTCGATCAGGTTTTTTCATGAGACCAATCTATTATAAATTCATTGCGCTTAATTGGTTAGTTCAGCTGTCAGTTGTACTTGTATTCCTCATATCAAGCTAGTGACAGAAAACATTATTTGTTGTGGTATCATCACTTTGTCCATAACTTGGCCAACAAAGAGCCCTTTTTTTCATAGAGAAGTTATTTCTTTCTGATCTATTCAACTTGTGAATTACCTTGAACTGTATTATTCATTGAGGTTACATTATGTACATAACCGGTTTTTGTCCTAATGAACTAAAATTGGATCTGGTTGGTTTGAGAAAACATTTTCTGTTTTCATTTTTAGAAGACGCCACCTTATTTTTCACTGTATTCATATTTACAAAAGTTATATCAAAACCAGTGAAAACAACTTATTTTATTTATATTTTCTGTTTTCGTATTCCTATACAGACTGACCAGTAAAAAAAAATAAAAATTACGGTTAAATTTGATAATGACAGCACATCTTTTCTTCATTATCTTGCTCTCTCTCTCTCTCTCTCTCTCTCTCTCTCTCTCTCTCTATATATATATATATATATATATATATATATATATATATATATATATATATATATATTAATGTTACAAACTAATCTGATAAAAAATATTTATATTTAAAATTAACATAAAAACTATCAAAACTATAAATTAAATCTGTATGTTAAATTCAATTTATTTAAAGCATCAACCAATTTTAAATTTATAAAAAAAATGTAGACTTCATGTATTTAATATAAATTATTATATTTAAATCTCAAATTATTAAAATTTAATATACATTAATTGTGTAATTCTATTTAATTCCTTTAAGAATTTTTAACTTTTTATTGGCACGAATTATTTTTATCACACTAATATATTACATTATCATTCAATCATTGATTCTAAAATTATAACATTTGTAATTATTATTTTAAAATTTTTCGTTACACTTTACACCAAACATATATAAAAAATAAAGTAATTTATTTTTATGGTGAAATATCTTTAAAGTATATGCATCTCTTACTTTTTTTCGTCTCTTAACTTTAACGTATATAAATATGAGAGCTATTTTGTGACACCCGGACACTGACGAGGACAGAGAGTGATCGTCGGTGCAAGAGGTACGATGTGCAAGGGGCACAGACAAGGAGCGGCTCCTGACAGGCTTCCAGTGGAAGGGACACATGGATGAATCGAACATACATCGAAATCAGAGGGATCTAGAGATTGTGTAGGTATGAGACTATACAGTTGAAGGATAACTTAGAGGGATTGATTTGGCTACTTATATCACAAAAATGCATTTGCTTTTCGGTACCCTAACTCATAAGAACTGGGTGACCTTCTGGGCCCAGAAAGTGTAGGAGTGAGGACAAAACACATTGAAAAACCTCGTGGTGATGGTATTTCTTGTAAGTTTTGCCGGGATGTTACATTTTTGGTTGAGCCAAATTTTCTATTGAAGTATTTGCTCAAAAATAAGCAAGAAACTATCTTTCCTGAAAAAATGAAAAAAATTACTATAAAATTATTACTTTATTAAATTGTAATCCTTTAATGTGGTAATTGACTAAAAATGTATTTTCAGGAGTATATATTACCAAGTAAACAAAATTTAGTCATGCAATTATAATTATTAGGATTCATAATTCCGAGATATCATGATTTTAACGAGTATAAAGTATTTTTTCCCTCTATAAAACTTCCTCTAGAAGTTTCTCTCCCAAAGTAAAAAGAAAAAAAATGAAATATTCTTATTACACTGTTTTTTAATAATAAATTATACATACAGTAAAGGAAAAATAATTCTTTTTGTGCAATAATAACTAAATTAAAAATAATATTTAAACTATTTTCCATCTATCAATAAAATACAAGCTCTTCCCTCTGAAAGTAAAATCTGTGGAAGAAAAAAAATCTCATAGAAGTTAAAGAGGATAGGACATGAACTGATACTGTTGGCGTGACTGTATCTTTGTGGCCACATTGAGAACAAATCTGACGATGAAGTGTGTAGCCTTGCTCTCAGTGGTTGCGTGCGCCTTCACGGTGGCGATTTGGGCGGCGAACGGTGATGACATCTTGGTCCCACCGCGCCGGGAAGTTTACGGCAACGGCCGAATATTCGATATCAGTCACCAGTACCATCCCGAGATGCCGGAATTTGAATCGAAGGACGGCATAGGGCAGTTCCTGTGGCTTCCGAAGAGCATGAAGAACGGCTCCATCGCTAACAACTCCGAAATGAAGCTCCCAACCCACACCGGCACGCACGTCGACGCTCCCGGTCATGTCTTCGACCACTACTTCGACGCTGGCTTCGACGTCGACACGCTAGACTTGGACATCCTCAACGGTCACTTTTCTTTTATCATTCTTTCTTTTTCGTATACTTTTGTTTGATCACATATAATCAAAGAAGGGTCACGTTATCATGACTGGATTGGTTGTGGAGTCTAAGAGTGAAATGGAATGGATACAAATATAATAGAATGAGATGAATAAGAATGGATTGGAATAAAACTTGTTATCATTCTCCTCTTTGGATATCCTATAACGAAGGAAATATTTTATTACACTCTTTTTCTTAACCCAGCACTTTAGACTAAATACTCTTTTTAAGGACAAAATTGTGAGGTTTCTGGTTCCAAATGGACAATACCTGAAATGTGTAGATCCTAATTGTGCAATAGACTTAAGTTTAGAATACATGTAATATTCTTACCATCATTTTGTCTAAATGCATTGTTTGTGTGCAGGACCTGCTCTATTAGTAGATGTTCCACGAGATAGTAATATAACTGGTATTCATTTTTTTTTCTTCATGTGGCGTATGAGGATTGGACGACATTGGCAAATTTATGGTTTTAGAATTATTTTTGCTCCTGTAATGCTATTATCCAATGGAAATGTGTTGTCCTTTTTCAGCTGAAGTTATGAAGTCGTTACATATTCCAAGAGGTGTAATACGCGTTCTCTTCCGAACTTTAAATACAGACAGGTAACGTCTAAAGACTAAGCAAGTATTACAATGATTTGTTAACACTTGGCTATTCAAAAGTGCTGCTATGGTGGTACTTAAAGATTATTGGATTTGAGGAAACAACTTTGAAATATAACTAGTGGTGTTCTTGGAGTTATGTTATGTGTTTACCTCAAATATGTTTTCGAAGTCTGTGTAACTTTAAATTTTCGTTTGAGGGAACTTATTATTTTTATATACTTCCTCAGTATAATAATAGTTTTTTTAATGCTTTGTCAACAATTTGTTATCTTTTTTTTTTAATTTCTGTATGAGTGAGACTTGAGTGAAGCTATTTATATTTTTATTTGTTGTACTTGTGTCAATGACTATATTCTCCATGATTAAAAAAATAGAGGTGGATAATAAACAAAAGAAATATTTAACTATGATTTACATGTTTGCATAAGATTTGTCCAAGCTATGTTATCTTTTTCACAATTTTTGAATTTCATTGCTCATTTGAAATCAAATGTTGAACTAAGCATTTTGAATTATTAGGCGGCTTATGTTTCAGAAGGAATTTGACCCAAGCTATGTAGGATTCGCAGTGGATGGAGCAAAATGGCTTGTGGAGAACACTGATATCAAACTTGTAGGTAGGTATATGGGCGGTTTTACTTTTTTAATATTTTGCTGCAATTTCCCATGGTCATTTTTCCTGTCATTTGTCTCAGGCCTAATAGCTGGGTCTAGTTTTGTACATGTTATGTTTGTAATCGATAAGTACGACGAAGTATTCTTACTTTCCTTTGTTTGTCTTTTCTTGTCATCTCTGAAAAATCCAAACCCACTTCTGGATTGCTAACTGTGATTCACTGTTTTTTTTTTTTCATTGCATGTTTTCAGCTAAGCATATCTCCCCCAACCTTTCTTTCTTGTTCAACTCTTCCGCATTTTTTCCCTACTCAATTATGTTGCCTGACATTTATTTTCTGTGGTGTAATGCAGGAATCGATTACCTATCTGTTGCTTCTTATGATTACTTGATTCCATCTCACCTTGTTTTTTTAAAAGATCGGGTAAGAAAAAATTCCTTTTGTGGCGAGAGTTTGTGTTTATTATGTTTCAACATTGTTTACTAATTATACCCTGCCCTTTTTGAATGAGAGTGAATCTTATCTTGGGGATTATAGGGTCAAAGTACCACTAAGTATTTATCAATCTCTGTATTTGTTTGTTGTGGCTGAAGTGGAATCTTTGACTTTTATTACTTGTGATTAACTATGAACATCATTTAGTCTTTCCACCCCTATTAGTATATCATAATACCAGTTAATCTTTCTCTCTATGTTATAGCTATAATGTGCACTTGTCAAATTGTTAACTGGCAAGTATTTGGCTTTGAAATCTGACCTCTTAAAGATTGTTGGAAGTTTGAGTCATCAGTGTTGATATTCTCTTTGCTGTAATTTTATCAATACGTATAATAAAAATTTCAAAGATAGTGCCACATGGAAATTTATCAGGGCTTTGTTTCATTCTAAAACTAATAATTACCTTACTGTAATTTTACTGCAAAACTAATGATTTATTTGGATGACTTTCTAGACTCTTTCCAGGTAATGTTTTAGTTAGTTTAAAACTTATCAGGCTAATTTGCATTCTGACTCTAATATTTGGATATACCAGTATAGGTTCCTGGAAAAGGACATCCTAATAAGTATAGTTTTACATAGTACATGTCGATGAGGGCTCTAAACAGTTACTTTAAACAGTTACTTAAGTCGTCTTTAATTTTGAAGCATTTTATAGCAGCTAACTCAGTATCTTTAGTATTTTATCAATGTAACATCTTAGCTTGTTCAATGTCTCCATCCGTGTCAGTCCCAATTTGAAATTTGATTTGAAGTACGCCCATGTTAAAATATTTTACTATTTAGTTTGAAAGATAGTTGCCAACAAGTCAGTAAAAATGTATTTTGACATGGGACTGGTAGTTGTGTCTTCAGATTCCTCTGTAGGAACCAGATTGTATATGTTTCATTTGTTGCTTTCATATGAAATAGAATCAATGTTAACAGGTCCTAACAACTGAATATGCTTCAGGAAGTCATTCTTGTTGAGGGCTTGAAGCTTGATGATGTTCCTGCAGGATTTTATTCAGTCCATTGCTTACCTCTTAGGTTGTCTGGTGCCGAGGGATCACCAATTCGGTGCATTCTGATTAAGAATTAAGGTACGTGTGAGAGAATGGGATGTACAAACTTTGGTTTGCATCTTTATTTCATTAGGGGAGAGGGGTTTGAAAAGGGCATCTAATAACTATTTGCTTGCTCTCTGGGTTTTGATTGAATTCTCACAACAATGATATATAGATAACTTCATAATACAAACACCAATTTGACACTTTTTATTTCTCTTAATCCTTTTCTTCTTATCACCTCATTCACTTATTAAATTTACATTTCTTTCTCTTATATTTTTTTCTTTCTAGGTGTCAAATAGTGTTTGG